CCACGCCCTCCCCGAGGATGGTCCAGGGCAAAAGCCAACAGGCGCTACCACCCTGCCAGGCATTCCTAGAAGAGGTTGGGGGCGGGGCAGTGGCCAGACACCAGTGCCCCGGGGTCACGGGAGAGGCAGGACAGGCCCGGCCCTGGACAGCACCCTGGGCCTGGATCCCAAACAGCAGCTTCCACCCAGGCTTTAGGGAACCCCCAGGAGGGGGTGGACAGCCGGGCAGGGCACGGGGAAGGGGTGGCAGCCCCTGAGCCCCATGTGACTGTCTGCTCAGGCCAGGGGTGGGGTCAGGACCCAGGAGCTGCCTGAGGGGCCCCTATCCACAATAGGAGCTGGTAAAGCTATGGGCTCCCAGAAGCAGCCCAAGCCCCAGCCCCTCCCAGGCTGCTCCAAGGGGCCCCCCACTCCTGCCCCACTGCTCAGCCTTCCCCAGTCAGCCCTGCAGGGGGCCCGGGTACTGGCCATCAGCCCCCAGAGACCCACCTCAGGCCCCGACGGAAGCTCCCTCACTCACTGCACCGTCTGTGCCCCAGGGCTTGGGGTGGATGCCAGGTGCCTGGCAGGAGGGGGTTAACAGAGCTGGGGCCAGCTGGGCTGGGCCAGCCCGGTGACGGGCGCAGGCTGCCCCACAGTGGGGAAATCCAGAGGGCAGGGGTGGCCGGCGCAGCAGACGCACCCTCCCTTGCTGCTACCTGTGGCCTGCCCTGCACTCGGGATGGCCCTGAGGAAAGGTGAGCCCCCCAGTGTCCCCAACACCTGCCCTGGGGGTGGCCAGACCATGACCTGAGTCCTCTGGGAGAGGCCAGGGGTGGTCCCCAGGGAAGCTCTGCAGGGCTCAACTCTGGGGGTCTCGGGGGGACTCCGGGGAGCCCAGTAGGGAATGTGACTGCTGGGGTTGGGAAGGAGACACAGCTGTGCCTGACACCAGAGGGTCTCCATCCTGTTCTCAATCCTAAGGGTGTTGGTGGCAGTGCAGGGAAGAGTGCCAGGCACAGGCTGGGCCAGCAGGAGCCTTCAGCTCCCAGAATGGCGGGCACAGTGACGGGAGGTGCCCTCACACCCTGCATTGTGGGCATGGCCCAGGCAGGAGATGGTGGCTTCTACCCCGCTGTCTTTGTGAGGCGCTCCCCTGCGGCTTCAGCCACCCCAAGCCTGAGCTGAGCTCCAGGGCTGTCTCAGGCCACCCCCAAATGATCACGACAGAAGGGCATTTGAGGGGGCTCCACCTGACTGCACCGGCCACCATCGCAGCGATCCCACACCCTGAGGACAGGCAGGCCATGCTGTAGAGGGTCTGGGTCACCACTGTTTGGGAGGCTGCTGGCCGGGTCTGTGGGGCCTGTGGCACCTTGTCCTGAGGGGCAATGTGACCTGTGGTGGCTGACAGCCTGGGTCCCTACCTGCCCACCAACACGGGTGCCAGGTCTTCCCCACAGCACCGGGCTGAGGCCTGGATGCAGGAAGATGAGACCCCGCCGAGGGGGCCTAACTTGGGCAGGAGGTGCCTAGCTCCCTGTTCAGCCTCTGAGGGCATCGAGTGAGTGCCCACCCAGACCTGCTCGAAAATCTTCTGAAAATGGCCGGACCTGGGCCGACGGCTCAGCTCCCTCCCCTTCCTCCAGGCCAACGTGCAGTTGCCACATGGTCAGAAGGCCCAAGCCCCAGCCTGGCTGAGCCCACGTGGCCTGCAGAGCCAAGCCCTCGGTGTCTGTGCAGCCGGGGCGGGGCGGCCACTCCACCGTCCCCTGGGGTGGGAAGCTTCTGAGCTGGAGGACCCAGGGGGCTCACCGGCTTCTTCGCGGCTCGGGGGAGAGCTGGAGGCTGCGTTCGCATCCGAGCGCCGGTTCCAACTGTGCTGGCGTCAGCCTCACAGGGTGGAGCCCGCCTCGGGCTGCCTCCCCAAGCCTCTCCCCCCACAGGAGGCCTGGCCCTGGCGCTGCTGCTGTTGTCCTGGGTGGTACTGGGCCCCCGCAGCCTGGAGGGAGCAGAGCCCGGAACACCGGGGGACCCCGAGGGCCCAGCGTGCCCAGCCACCTGTGTCTGCAGCTACGACAGCGACGCAGAGGAGCTCAGCGTCTTCTGCAGCTCCAGGAACCTCACGCGCCTGCCGGATGGCATCCCGGCCGCCACCCAGGCCCTGTGGCTGGACGGGAACAACCTGTCGTCCATCCCCCCGGCTGCCTTCCAGAACCTCTCCAGCCTGGGCTTCCTCAACCTGCAGGGTGGCCTGCTGGGCAGCCTGGAGCCGCAGGCGCTGCTGGGCCTGGAGAAGCTGTGCCACCTGCATCTGGAGCGGAACCAGCTGCGCAGCCTGGCTGTGGGCACGTTTGTGCACACGCCCGCGCTGGCCACGCTCGGCCTCAGCAACAACCGCCTGAGCCGGCTGGAGGACGGGCTCTTCGAGGGTCTCGGCAGCCTCTGGGACCTCAGCCTCGGCTGGAACGGCCTGGCCGTGCTCCCCGACGCGGCGTTCCGTGGCCTGGGCGGCCTGCGCGAGCTGGTGCTGGCGGGCAACAGGCTGGCCTACCTGCAGCCTGCACTCTTCAGCGGCCTGGCCGAGCTCCGGGAGCTGGACCTGAGCAGGAACGCGCTGCGGGCCATCAAGGCCAACGTGTTCGCGCAGCTGCCCCGGCTCCAGAAGCTCTACCTGGACCGCAACGTCATCGCCGCCGTGGCCCCGGGCGCCTTCCTGGGCCTGAAGGCGCTGCGCTGGCTGGACCTGTCCCACAACCGCGTGGCCGGGCTCCTGGAGGACACGTTCCCCGGCCTGCTGGGCCTGCGCGTGCTGCGGCTGTCCCACAACGCCATCGCCGGCCTGCGGCCCCGCACGTTCAGGGACCTGCACTTCCTGGAGGAGCTGCAGCTGGGCCACAACCGCATCCGCCAGCTGGCCGAGCGCAGCTTCGAGGGCCTGGGCCAGCTCGAGGTGCTCACGCTGGACCACAACCAGCTGCAGGAGGTCAAGGCGGGCGCCTTCCTCGGCCTCGCCAACGTGGCGGTCATGAAACTCTCCGGAAACTGCCTCCGGAACCTTCCCGAGCAGGTGTTCCAGGGCCTGGGCAAGCTGCACAGCCTGCACCTGGAGGGCAGCTGCCTGGGCCGCATCCGCACGCACACCTTCGCCGGCCTCTCGGGGCTGCGCCGGCTCTTCCTCAGGGACAACGGCCTCGAGGGCATTGAGGAGCAGAGCCTGTGGGGGCTGGCGGAGCTGCAGGAGCTGGACCTCACCTCCAACCGGCTCACGCACCTGCCCCCGCGGCTCTTCCAGGGCCTGGGCAAGCTGGAGTACCTGCTGCTAGCCCACAACCGGCTGGTGGAGCTGCCGGCGGACGCCCTGGGCCCCCTGCGGCGGGCCTTCTGGCTGGACGTCTCGCACAACCGCCTGGAGGCACTGCCCGATGGCCTCCTGGCACCGCTGGGGCGGCTGCGCTACCTCAGCCTCAGGAACAACTCCCTGCGGACCTTCACGCCACAGCCCCCTGGCCTGGAGCTCCTGTGGCTGCAGGGGAACCCCTGGGACTGCCGCTGCCCGCTGAAGGCGCTGTGGGACTTCGCCCTGCAGAACCCCCGCACCGTGCCCCGCTTCGTCCGGGCCGCCTGTGAGGGGGACGACTGCCAGCCCCCCACATACACCTACAACAACATCACCTGCGCCAGCCCGCCCGAGGTCGCCGGCCTCGACCTGCGGGATCTCAGCGAGGCCCACTTCGCGCCCTGCTGACTGGGGCCCCTTGCGTGGCTTACCCTGCGCAGGGGACAGGTCCTCTGCATCCTCGGGGGCCTGGCAGACATCTGATCCCGAGCTGTGCCCTTGCTGAAAGACGCAAGGGCCTGACTGGGGTGGGAGGCATGGCGGCCTTCCCCCGGTGTCATCAATTAAAGGCAAACACAGTTGAATCTAATGGGCGCGGCGCGTGACTGCAAGCGTGGAATCAGGGAAGGGGCTGGGTGCGCGGCGCACACCTGGGGTCTCAGAACTTTGCAAGGCCGGGGTGGGCTAATTGCTGGAGCCCAGAGGGTCAAGACCGGCCTGGGGAACACAAGGGAGAGCCCATTTCCACAAAAAAATAAATTAGCCAGGCATGGCAGCCCATGCCTGTGGTCCTAGGCAGGCTGGGGCAGGAGGCTCGCCAGTGCCTGGGAGGTAGAGGCTGCCATGAGCCCAGACTGTACCACTGCACTCCAGCCTGGGTGACAGAGTAAAACCACCTCAGAAAAAACACACCTGGCTTAGGGGAGGGGAGGGCGGTGTGCCTTGGTATCACCTTTGCCCTGTGGGGCTTGGCCATGCCCAGAGCCCCTGCCAGGACCCAGCCCCTCCACTGCCGCGGCCGACAGCCTCCCTTGAGTCCTCCTGATCCCTGCAGCTGCCCCCCGGGCTCCCCCCAGGACAACGGCACCAACTCGAGTCCTGGGAGCTCCACAACTCGCCCCTCCTCTTCAGGCATCGCCCAGAGGACCAGGCGGCCAGGGCATGGCTCAGGTGGGGCGGGCAGTGAGCACAGGGCATGGCGTCAGTCTGGCGCAGGGAGCCACCCCCTGCAGCAGGGCCCTGGCATCCTTAGCCCCTTTGCCCCAGCACCCTCCCACCTGCCTAGGGACTGCCGGGGTTGGTTCCTGGCCCTCACCTGGAGGGTCCTCCCCTGATGAAGGCCCAGCTTTTCCTTTGGGAAAAACGGCACGTTCTGCTTTCTGGAATGGCTTTCCTTCTGCGTCTCCCTGAGAAGAGCTGCAGGAAGCCCCTGGGACTTGGAGCTCCCTTATCCACCCACCTCCAGTCTCAGTCCCTCGGAGGGGCCCCCGCAGTGTCTGGGGGGCTGTTCTTGCATGGCAAAGGCACTGGGTCTCAGGTTTATCATAAAATCTCTCTGAACTCCCACCACAGGAACAGGGGCTGGCTGACAACAGAGCTAAGGACTCACCAGCCCAGCCCAGGAATGACAGAAGCGGGTGCTGTCTGACCCCTAAGGACAGAAAACTCTAGAAGCATCAGACTCGTAATCATGGCAGTGCATTTAATGGCAGGATCCTCCCACTTAGAAGACATGTTTGAGGTCAGTTCACCCCCTTAGGGGGCACCTCCCCAGCTGAACACAGACCACAGTGACCCCAGGCTGCTGGGGACCTGGGGCCCCATGAGGCCTGCAGGAGTCCCAGGGGCTCTGTGACTGTGGACACACAGCCGCGGGGTGCACGTGGGAAACGTGAATGGACAAGACCCCGGCCGCCCGCCGAACGGCCACAGAGCACCTGGCCCCGAGCTGCCCTCTCAGCCACAGGCCACGCAGGCAGAGCTGCTGACGCCCAACTCCTCCCAGGGGCAGGGCTGGCTGAGGAGACGCTCCCCAGATCACGAAGCCCGGGCCTGTCCCTGCAGGGCCCGGACTTGAGCCCAGGCAGCTCCGTTTCTCTGAGAAGCTGGAGAGAGCCCTTGGTGGCTCTGGGAGGCGGCTGCAGGGCGGCCTTAATCAGGGAAGGCACATGGGCGTCGCGTCCAGGATCTTCTGGGCTATGGAGCTGAGCGCGGTGAAGGCGGGGCTCCCGGGGAACTCCTGGATGAAGTCATGACCCTCCTCCAGACTCCTCGTGAGCACAGGGTCCAGGGGCACAGAGCCTGCACAGCACAGTGAGGCCAGGGAGGCGATGGCACCGTGTCCACACCTCCTGCTCCCAGCACGGGCTCGGCTGGCCAAAAGCAGATGCCATCCGAACCACCCGCGGCCGCAGAGGGGGCGCAGGCACTGCCCCGAGGCTTCCACCTCCAGGCTGGGTCCTGTGGCCCCTGAGAGTGCCTTGAGAAGGGCGAGGGTGGATGAGCCACAGGTCACAGTGCGGAGTGTGGCCTGAGGAGAGAGGAGGAAACAGCCCCCGTCCCCTCCTCCCCTTGGGCGCTGGGGTCACAGAGGTCAAGCCCGCCCAGGGCAGAGGCTGTGGACAGGGAGGCCGGGACCCCAGCACCAGGTCAGGATACTCACCTAAGAAGGGCACCCCAGCAAGCCGGGCCAGCTCCTCCCCGCCGCCCCTAGAGAAGACGCTGGTGCACTCCTAAGAGAGGGTGGTGAGCCCAGCGCCACCCAAGGTCCCACCCTACCTGCCTGCCACTCCCACCATCAGGTGCTGCCTCGGCCCTGCAGCCCCCGGGCTCACCGCGCAGTGTGGGCAGGTGAAGCCGCTCATGTTCTCCACGACCCCCATCACCCGCAAGCCCGTCTTCCTGCAGAAGGTCAGCTCACGCCTCACGTCCCCCACAGACACCGCCTGCAGGGCAGGAGCCAAGGTTGCCGGTCAGCGGGGTTGGGCCAGGTGCACAGGGAGGGACACCGGCCCCGCCCACTGGAAAGCCGCTCACAGGGGTTCAGGAAGGTGCTGGCGGTACCTGAGGCGTGGTGACCACGAGGGCCCCCAGGGGTTGGTAGGGCCGCAGGGCTTCCACAGTAGCCATGTGCTCGTCGGAGGTCCCTGGGGGTGTGTCCACCACCAGGAAGTCCAGCTCCCCCCAGGCCACATCAGACACAAACTGTTTTATCAGTGCTGCAAAGACAGGGCCGTCAGGGCAGGGCAGGTCTGCACACGAGGCCCTGCGCTGCTAAGAACTGGCCAGGTCAGGCCGAGGGGCTGCAGTCCAGCAAGCGCCACGGGCCACCGGCCTCTATCACAGGTTCTTGGAAGGTCCCAGCCCACTGCGGGAGCCGGCCAGGCCCTGACCAGGAGCACAGAGATGGGGCCAGGGCCATCTACAGCGTATCACCCCTGCTCACAAAGTGCGTGTTGACTCCCCGAGGCCCCAAATCAGAACACGGAGCCAGGACTTCGGGGGTCTGTACCCACATGTGGGAGCACCCACATTCTCTGTGGCAGACACTCCACAGGTGCACCCAGAGCCTGCACCTCACTCCCACCAGCCTCTCCCTGCTCCAGAGGCACCAGAACCCCCTCAGCTCTGCCCCCATGACCTCCCACACTGGGGTCTCAGGTCCCTGCATGCCATGGCCAGGGTCTTGGCAAGCCCCTCCCTCTGGCTGGGAGGGGAGGGCGGCTGTGTGACAGTGTGGACTGGAGCCACACCGCCAGCCAGAGCGCCGTCCCTGGTTGTGGTGTCACATGTGGGTTCCCAGGCCCGGCTACTGGCGGGGAGCATTTCCACGGAAGAGGCCAGCACGGATGCTCACCCCTTCCCCAGGACAGCGACGCCCCACCCGTCATTACCGTTTTTCTTGGGGCCTCTCCACACCACAGCCTCATCGGGCTTCTCCAGCAGGAAGCCCACGGACATGAGCGAAATGCTCTGCTCGCGGTCCAGGAAGACGGGCGCCCAGCCGCGGTCACACTGGTGCACGGCCCTACCCTGCGCCCCGAGCATGCGGGGGATGCTGGGGCCGCACAGGTCCACGTCCAGGATCCCCACCTGCAAGGGGCAGCACAGCCGAGGCCAGGGGCACCGCCAGGCCTCTTCGGGGACGCGGGCAGCTGCCCAGGGCTCCGCCCAGCGACGGGCAGGGCGCTCACCTTCTTGCCCGCATGGTGCAGTGCCAGGGCCAGCTCCGTGGAGATGGTGCTTTTCCCAACGCCCCCCTTTCCCGACAGGACCAGGATGATGTGCCTGACGCCGGCCAGGTTTCCAGGCTCTGGTCAGAAGCAAGAGGGAAGGTCAGGGCCCCCCGCGCCCACTGTACCCACACACACGGGGTTGCCCAGCACCTCCCGCACCCACAGCGGAGTGGTAGGGAATTGCCAGACCCAGAGGCAGCCCCTGTCCCGCTTCAACCCGATGTAAAGACCTCCAGGTGGGTGCCCTGCAGCCCCAGACCCGCGAGCGTCCCTCTGAGACCACTGCACTTCCTGCTCCTGCCAGAGGCGGCGCTGCTGAGAGCGGAAAGTGCCAACGTGCCTCTCAGTGCAGGCAAGGGTGGTGCGTTCCTTCACGCGCAGGCGTGTGTGCAAGCCAGCACACGTGAGCGACATGATTATCAAACTGCCAGCCCCCTGCTATTTCTAACGGCAGGATAGACTCCACTCTTTCCCCAGCCTGTGCAGCTGGGCTTGGCAGAGGCAGCACAGGCTGCTCTGAGCCTCCAGTACTCAGGAGGGATGCTGGCAGCTGAGGGCCAGGGTGGCCACAACCATGCGTTGCAGTCGGCGTTCTCGGCCTTGCAATGTGTGGCAGGTGAGGGCCGCCGGCCACTCCCCACACAGCCCTGTCCCCCACGTTCCTCTTCCTTCCAGGGTCCCATCCTGTTGCCACCACGAGGTAGGGGCTGCTGTGTGCAGACACCCTGACAAACCCCCACCTTCTCCCCCCAGCGCCACCGCTGAGGCCATGCCCCTTGTATCCAGCAAGCTGCTCCATCCCGGACAGGTCCTGGGAGGACCAACGCCCTCTTCCTGATCCGCCTCTCAAGAGCAGGCTGAGAGGCTCTCAAGTCCACAGCCTCCCAGGGCAACCTGGCATGCAGGCAGGTCCTCGGACCTACAGAGCCTGCCTGCAGTCTTCTCCGCAGAAAAGGCAGCCCCACACTCCTGCAAACACCGAGCCCTGAGACCACAGCCTCACGGTCACCCTGGAGGCAATCAAAAGAGGTTCTGACTTAAATCACTTTTAATACCAAGAGGTACTGGAGGCGCACTGTGCAGACCCCGGCATGCACGTCTGTGGCTGCCGGGGACTCCGTCAGGCCAGGGTCCCAACTGCCAGCGGCCATCAGCGCTAACCCATGGAGGCTCTCCTCGCTGGCAGATATGGGGACTGTGACCGTCCAGTAGGTTGGGCTGAGCACCACGCAGGACGCGGGCGCCAGTGTCAGGCAACCAGGAGGGGGAGGTCCCTCCCAGACAACAACCCTGAGGGTTCCCCAAAAACTTTCCACTTCTCAGCAAACTGAAACAGCTCCTAGGCAGACGCCCTGCAAAGCACAGTCAGTGTGGGCCTGCCGGGTGCTGCAGCTGTGACCTGCCCAGACGAGGCCTTTCGAATTTTTATGTGCATATTTTCCCCACATAAAGAAAGCTTAGGGCTAGGTGCAGTGGCTCACGCCTGTAATCCCAGCACTCTGGGAGGCCAAGGCGGGTGGATCATCTGAGGTCAGGAGTTTGAGACCAGCCTGGCCAACGTGACGAAACCCTCTACTAAAGACTCTAAAAAGCAGCCAGGTGTGGTGGCGCATGCCTGTAATCCCAGCTATTTGGGAGGATGAGGCAGGAGAACTGCTTGAACCAGAGAGGCGAAGGTTGCAGTGAGCCGAGATCGAGACTGTGCCACTGCACTCCAGCCTGGGTGACGGAGACAATCTCTGTCTCCCACATCCCCCAAAACTAAAAGCTTGGACTAGGTGCACTGACTAACACCTGTAATCCCAGCACTTTGAGAGGCCAAAGAGGAAGAGTCACTTCAGTCCTGGAGAAGTTCCAGACCACTCTCAGTAATGTAGTAAGACCCCATGTGTACACATCAAAAAGCTTCTATCAATCTCAGCAATAGCCTTACTCTGTGGTAAATCTTTCCTGATTAGAAAGTCAGGCTTGCCGGGCGCGGTGGCTCAAGCCTGTAATCCCAGCACTTTGGGAGGCCGAGGCGGGTGGATCACGAGGTCGAGAGATCGAGACCATCTTGGTCAACATGGTGAAACCCCGTCTCTACTAAAAATACAAAAAATTAGCTGGGCATGGTGGCGCGTGCCTGTAATCCCAGCTACTCAGGAGGCAGAGGCAGGAGAATTGCCTGAACCCAGGAGGCGGAGGTTGCGGTGAGCCGAGATCGCGCCATTGCACTCCAGCCTGGGTAACAAGAGCGAAACTCCGTCTCAAAAAAAAAAAAAAAAAAAAAAAAAGAAAGTCAGGCTTTTCCAGGCTTCTCTCTGGAGTAAGACTCCAAGGCTGGGTTTCCAACCTGTCAGAGTTGTGCTACCAGACCTTGCTGTCCGAAGGTTTTCCTTTTGGTCAGAACTCCATGTCTCGAAGATAAGTGCGGCTCCCACTACTTAAGAGGGCCCGTTGGTGCTCATGTTGGCGAAGGGCTCATACCCACTGAGTGAATTCTGTCTGATGCAACTTTCACGTCTCTAAAGGCTTAGAGCGCCATTTCCTCAAAGAACTAAAAGCATATGAGATGCTGGCTTCTGTCTTACTTTCATGACTATGTGCATATGATTTATTTAGAGACAGGGTGTCGCTCTTCACCGGGCTGCGGTGCAGTAGGACCAGGGCCTCGACCTGGCGACCTCCAAGATAGTGGGGCCCACAGGCGCCACCACTCCCACCTACAAAGCGGTGCTCAACAGTTTCTTTTAAAACCTCCCCCTAGGCCGGGCGCGGTGGCTCACCCCTAAGATCCCAGAACTGTGGGAGGCAGAGGTGGGTGGATCACGAGGTCAGGAGTTCCAGCCTGACCAACATGGTGAAACCCCGTGTCTACTAAAAATACAGAAATTACCCGGGCGTGATGGCGGAAGCCCGTAATTTCAGCTACTCGGGAGGCTGAGGCGGAGGCTGCAGTGAGCAGAGATCACGCCACTGCACTCCGGCCTGGGTAACACAGCGAGACGCCGTCTCTAAACACATAAATAAAAAATAAAACCTCCCCGATTCTACGACTCAGATCCTCCGAGGTCACGGGGTTTTCACACCGAAGCCGCAGCATGCGCGAAAACGCCCGCGCCGAGACCTCTGGCTCGGTCGTGCCACGCAGGCCGGTGATGGTCGCCCTGGAGGTGCGCGACGCAGCGAGGCCGCCCCGGAAGGGGGCGCGGCGGGGTCCCAAGTGAGGCCCTGACCCGGCCCCGCACTCACCCGTCACCGCCGCCGCCGCCGCCGCCTCCATCCCGCCGCCGGCCGGAGCTCGCTGCTACCCCGCGCTTCCGCCCGCGGGCCGTCAGCCTCCCAACCAGAGCGAAGGGCCTTCTAGCCAATGGTCAGTGCGCGCCCGCTCCTGGATCCTCTTCATAGGACTATTCCTCCTGTCTCAGCCAATCAAATCGCTTCGAGCCAGTCCCGCAGGTTCCGGCGCAGATGAGGACATGGAGGCGGACCTACTTTTGTGTCAATTCTGACTGCGGGACCGCCTCCCGCCGGTCTCCAATGGGCTCGCGGGCTTTGTCTCCAACCGCTTGGAAATCGACCAGTAGAAACGTTGGGTTGGGATTGACAGGTACTGAAACCTCTAGGCAGTAGCTTTGTCTCCCGACTCCCGCCCCCCTCGTCTGAAGCTCCGAGCCGGCCGTGCCCGCCCCTCGCCGCCGGAGCCAATGGGCGCAGGGGGCGGGGATTGTTTACGTCTCGCGCCTGGGCGGAAAGTGGGTCAGGGCCCGGCCGGCGGAGCGCGCGACGGGGGCTGCAGGTGAGCGGGGTTGGGGGGCGCGGGCCGCGGTCCCGGGCTCTGGGCGGGCGCGCTGACCTTGCGGGCGCGGCGGGAGCAGCGCGGCCAGGGCGCCGCCTTTGTTCCTCTCCGGAGCCCGCGCGCCCGCAGGAGGGGACAGCTGGGCCGGGCGGCCGCCGGGTAGGGCGGTTCCGGCTGCACCCGCACTCGCCCGGCGCTGGGCAGGGCTCGGCGGTCCGGGCGCCGCGATCCGCCCGGCCTCCCTGAGACCCGGTTCCAGCGGGCGTTGCCTGCCCCGAGCCCGGCGCAAGAGTCGTCTGTGGAAGGCGAAGCGGAACCCGCAGGGCGCAGCGCGGGCACCCCAGAGCCGGCGAGGGGCCAGGCAGGTGGCTGGGGACGCGCGGACCTGGCCCTCGCAGCCTTCTGCATGCTATGTCGGCACAGCGGCCAGCGCTCAGCAGGTTTTCAGATTTGCGTCTCACGAGGAGCCTTGGCGGTAGCGAGCGGAGAGGAAGGCGGGCTGCGCGGCCCAGGAGGTGCTGGCGGGAGGAGGATGCCGGCGGGCGCGGCGGCTGGGCCGGGCAGGAGGGGGAGGTGTCGGGGAGGGGTGACCACCGTGCTTCTGGCATGAGGAACTGGGAGGCCGGAGATGCCGTTTGTCAAACTGGATGACGGAGGAGGAGCGAGAGGACGTTTGAGATGCCTGCGGGACGGGCGGGCGGGACAGCCGGGTTCATGAGGTGGAGCTGGAGAGGGGCTGGGATTCGTACTCCGGAGTCATGGGTGTCTGGGTGGTGTTTCACAGGCTCTACCTAGGTTTCATTGAGCTGCTCAGATCCTGGAGTGAGGTATGGGCTCCTGAAGCGTTCTGGAGCCCTAGCTGGGCACCGGCGCCCCCTGCAGTCCCCACCTTCGAGTGGGTCTGTGGCCCAGACTGGAAGGACTCTTCCTTTGCCCAGAGCCTGTGTTTTCTTACAGATTCTCTTCACCATGGCCAGACGCCCCCGGAGCAGCAGGGCCTGGCACTTCGTCCTGAGTGCAGCCCGCCGAGACGCGGAGGCCCGCGCCGTGGCTCTGGCAGGCTCCCCTAACTGGGGCTACGACTCTGATGGGCAGGTAGGTCCCAGCAGATGAGGTGGACCTGGTTGGGCTAAGGTGTGGAGATGCCCTAGGCAGGAAGACAGGCATTAGCTGATCAGGGAATCATAGGGAAACTTGATTCTGAAGCCAGAGCACCAGGCCAACCCTGGGTCCGTCTCCGGGGTGCACCACGTTCAGTGAGACTCTTCAGTTTGGCAGAGGACACACAGCCTCAGGGGTGACAGGACCTCCGGACAGACACTGCATCCTGCACTGTGTTCTCTCCTGGGAAAAGCATGGTGTATGGAGAGGTTGGTATTTGCTTTTGGTTCATTCAGCAGAAACTCTCTGCTCTGGGGCTGGGCACTGTGGTTCACACCTATAATTCTAGTACTTTGGGAGGCTGAAGCGGGAGGATCAGTTGAGCCCAGTAGTTTGAGACCAGCTTGGGCCACACAGTGAAACTCTTGTCTCTACAAAAATTTAAAAAATTTGCCAGGCGTGGTGGCACGCACCTGTAGTTCCAACTACTCAGGAGGCTGAGGTGGGAGGATCGCTTGAACCAGGGAGGTCAAGGCTGCAGTGAGCTGTGAACACACCACTGCATTCCAGCCTGGGTGACAGAGCTAGACCCCGATTGGAAAAAAAAAAATTCTTTGGTTTATCCAGCCGGTTTCTGGGGTGACCACAGTCAGCTTGTTGCGTGTCCTTCCAGACGTTTATTCTGCCGGTACAAACACATATGCTCTGTTCACATATATGCGTGTTAAAAAAAGATCGTTGTAGAAATTTCTGCACCTTCCCCTGTCGGGGAGGCCCAGGAACCTGAAGGCGGTCAGAACAGCTCAGATGTTTGTCTGTAGTATGGCTGGTCTGATATGCCTGTGGGCTTTGCAGGCAGAGCCACCTTCAGCCCCTGGCCACTGCCTTGATAGGCCCTGGGGGCAGCTGCCTGGCCTGAAGGGGTACAGTGAGGCTGGGAGGGGTAGGGGTCCTGATGGGGGATGACTTCCCAATTGGTTTCCCGAGCTCTCCCTTGGACCAGAGCAGAAGTGTGGCTCGCCTTCCTGCCCCACTTCCCGCTGCCACAGTCACATACCCTGGAGCAGTCTGTCCCCGCCTTGCAGGCTCACAGCTGTGGGATGTGGGCGTGTCCACAGGCCAGTGTCTGACACATGCATGCTGCTTGTCCTTGGTCACCATGGGTTGTGTCCTTCCGGGGCTGCTGCTCGCGTGACCAGCACTGCTCTCTGCTGTCACAGCTGCCCTGTGCTATTGTTCAGGTTCAGCCAGGTGTCCTGGGAGGGGCTGGGCTCCTCTCTCCAAGTAAGGACTCCCTGAGCCCTGGGTCTTGGGGGCATGTTGGGAAACAGAGTTCTTACCCACCGGGTGGGCACTGTTCTGAAGCTCCCTGCTCCAGTGGGGGGAAAGGCCACAACCTGCCTTCCCGCCCGCCTCCAGGTCACGTGGCCTGGAGCACTGTCCTGGGCCCGCCGGGGCCACACAGGCTCGTGGCTATGGGGTGCTGCGGGCTGGGTAGTGTCTTGACACACATCGTGTGTCCTCTTTCACCAAATGGGCCTGCATATGTTGTGGGCAGGAAGCGGGTACCTCCCTTCTTTCTGCCAGAAGCTAGCAGGTATGTAGCCTGTCTTCTCTCCAGGAAGCTTGGCCCTGGGCCTACAGTGCGAGTGGTCAGTTCTGTGCCCTGGCTGCTAGCTCTGTGGGGCTGCCCTGGCTTTGGGGACCCCCCCACTCTAGGCAGTCGGGTAGAGTACTCTGCGCTTGCCTTGTCTGTGGGGTGGGGCCATCCCCTCCAGAGATGACAGTGGCCTGGCCTGAAGCTGGCTTTGGAGAGGTCCACGCTCACCTGAAAGCTGGTGGCATCCCATGTCATGGTTCCCTGTGGCTTCTGGGGGCACATCACCCTCTGGAACAGCTCCCAACCTGTGCCCTAATTGTCCCAAGGCCTCTGCCATGGGGACGCCTCGCTCACTTAGTGCTCTCCCTGCTGACCTTGTGGTCCATTTAGCCCCTGGGTGTGACAGGGAGGAGACTGGGAGGGGTGCCACCTCCCCCAAGGAGCTTACATTCCTGTGGGAAGAAGCCAAGAATCTGGACAGAGACCTTCAGAGAAGCAGTAGAAGGATGGAACAGGAATGAAGGGTCTGGAGAAGCCTTAGGGAGGTGACAGCTGAAGGTGGCATCAGGAGGGGCAGGGCCTGTAGTGGGCACTGGGCAGCAGGACCCTGTTGTAAGGCAGGATCTGCTCAGGTTATAGGAAGGTCATTGGGCCACAGTGTGGTAGGGGGCCAGGTGGCTGCAGCTGGGCCCGCTGAGGGGGTAGTGGCCTTGTCTGGGACTCCAGCAGGTCTGGCCAAGCAGGAAGGTAGGTGTCCACACCATCTCAGCTCTGGGCAGGTGGGCTGGGCTCGGGGCTCATCCCCTGTCTAGAAACCACTGGGAAGCCAGGCAGCCTTGACTGTGCTCAGTAGCCGGGCCTCCAGGGCCGTCCTGCTCTTGCAGAATGGGGCAGAGCTGGAGCCTGTTGGGAAGGAGACTGGGCTGTGCACTTGAGATACTGTGGAATCGTTGGAGGCCTGAACTCTTATCCTTTCCTGGGTGGGTGAGGGCCAGTGGGGGAAGAGACTCAGGCTGGGCCGGCAGAGGGCACGGGTGAGAGGGCAGAAGGCGGGGAACAGCTGGCCCTTCTCTCCCAGCACAGCGACTCAGACTCAGACCCCGAGTACTCCACGCTGCCGCCATCGATCCCCAGCGCAGTGCCCGTGACCGGCGAGTCGTTCTGCGACTGTGCCGGGCAGAGCGAGGCTTCCTTCTGTAGCAGCCTGCACTCAGCCCACCGGGGCAAAGACTGCCGCTGTGGAGAGGAAGACGAGTGTGAGCTTGGGACCTGGTGCCTGATGGGACAGCACTGGCGGGTGGGCCTTGGGGGGCAGGCGGGGCGGAGCCCCTTGGAGCTCTCAGGGCTGCCCCAGCCTGGGCCTCTCTTGCAGATTTCGACTGGGTGTGGGATGACCTGAATAAGTCATCAGCCACCCTGCTGAGCTGCGACAACCGCAAGGTCAGCTTCCACATGGAGTACAGCTGTGGCACGGCGGCCATCCGGGGCACCAAGGAGCTCAGAGAGGGCCAGCACTTCTGGGAGATCAAGATGACCTCGCCTGTCTACGGCACCGACATGGTAAGCTGCCCTGGCCCAGGGTGCTTCTGGGGGGCCTGGCCCCAGCAGCCCAGCCCCATGCCCTCTGCCTGGCCCCTGTTCCTAGATGGTGGGCATTGGGACGTCGGATGTGGACCTGGACAAATACCGCCACACATTCTGCAGCCTGCTGGGCAGGGACGAGGACAGCTGGGGCCTCTCCTACACGGGTGCGTGAGGCCCAAGGTGGGGCGGGGCCAAGCCTGGGTCTCCTGGGCTCACCCCAACCCTGGCTGCCCACAGGCCTCCTCCACCACAAGGGCGACAAGACCAGCTTCTCCTCAAGGTTTGGCCAGGGCTCCATCATTGGCGTGCACCTGGATACCTGGCACGGGACGCTGACTTTCTTCAAGAACAGGAAATGCATAGGTGAGGTGGTCAGAGGACTTGTGCTCTCCTAGCTGTCACCCTGAAGGAGGCGGCCACCCCAGCTCAGTGGACACAGAGGTTTCCTGAAAGGCTTCCTCCCGGAAGCATGAGGCCCCGGGGTCCCAGAGGGTGGATAGTGAGGCCGGGCTGGAGTGGCAGGGCTAGCGCGTGCTCCCAGGTGACTGCAGCATGAGGCCTGAGGGGCTGCACCTGGTAGCCGGCCCCTTCCCGACCCGGGGTTCAGGCTGGGTCCTCCCTTCCAGGTGTGGCAGCCACCAAGCTGCAGAACAAGAGGTTCTACCCGATGGTGTGCTCCACAGCAGCACGCAGCAGCATGAAGGTCACCCGCTCCTGCGCCAGCGCCACCTCTCTCCAGTACCTCTGCTGCCACCGCCTGCGCCAGCTGCGGCCGGACTCGGGGGACACGCTGGAGGGCCTGCCCCTGCCGCCAGGCCTCAAGCAGGTGCTGCACAACAAGCTGGGCTGGGTCCTGAGCATGAGCTGCAGCCGCCGCAAGGCTCCAGCACCTGATCCCCAGACAGCGGCCTCTGCCCGCCCCAGCAGTCCCGAGCCCCGGCCCTGCCAGAGGAAGCGCTGCCGCCGGACCTGACCGACTTCCCAGTGGCTGCCTCCCTAGGCTGGGACAGCCATTCTTCTCTGTCCCTTCTGGCCACACTCCAGGGTGGAGTTGGATGAGCCATCTCTTACCTCCTGAGGCTGGATCAGTCCTTTCTGTGGGGGCTCCAGGGCCCTTCCACTGCTGTGCTGGGTGGGGAAGCAGCTGCCCCAACCCCAGGTCTCCTGGAAGGCTGCGAGGAGAGCCTGGCTGGAGCCCGCTGTTCCCACAGGGACTTTGTTTCTCCTAACCTGCTCCGCATGTTGTCAGCGGCTGCCCTGCCGTCATAGACCTAAGTGACTGCAATAAATGTAGAGTTGTTGTCTAACACCCCATGGCGGGAGCCAAAATGTCCACGCAGAGGCTGGGCTTTTGAGCATCCCAGGCATTCTCCCAGGCCTGGCCGCCCCTTCACATCCATGGGAGTCTCCTATGGCTTCTGGCTGAGTGTGCCACACCCCAAGCCTCCAGGTGGCAATGAGGCCCTGGTGCTGCCTTCAGCCCCTGCCAAGTGTATGTGTGTGGAGAGGGGGTAAGGGAAACAGCCTTGCTGCTGGGCTCCCCTGTGGCCCGTGTGTGCAGGGCTCAGCATAGAACCACCAGCCTCTCTTCCCAGCTGCAAGCCGGAAGCCCCTCTCTCATTCCAGCTGCCTGAAACTTTCCCTGCAACCACCTACCCTCCCTCTGAGATCAGACCTGCCCAGCCAGAGCCTGAGGGTGTACATGTGGCTGGGGTCCTCCCCACCACTCTGCAGGTGTCTGGCCTGTCCCTAAGGCTGCATGCTGTCCTGGTGGTCCCAGGTGTGGTCAGGAGCTCAGGTCCAAGAGGAGGTCAGGGTTGGCGGTGGTCAGGAAAAGGCAGATGCGGCGAGAGAGGTCAGGCCCTACCCTGCGGGGCCGCCCATCTTCACTGGCAGTCACGGGGAGGTCAGCTAGGAGGCCCAGGCGCTCCCGCTCCGTGCTGCAGGCCACGAGCGCCTGGGGGCAGACAAAGGCATGAGAGGACTTACCTGGGGACAGGGCCTCCACGTGCAGGGCTGCGAGGAGGGAGGGGCCCACCTGTTGTAAAAGGCGAGGGGAGGGGAAGGCTGTGACCACAGCGTCAGCCACAGCTGGGCTGACCCGACTGAACTGCCTGATCTGCCTCCACCAGGCCCCTCGAAGCCCTGTGCCGTCCCTTGTTACCGGCTCGCCTGCTGCCCAGCGCCCTGCTGTGCAAAAGGAAAAGGCCTGGGATTCCCGGTACTGCCTGGAGACAGGGAGGGACAGAAAGAGGCCTTTGAGAGCCTGGGCACTCCTGAGCAGCAACCCAGTGCTGCTCTGCCCTCAAAAGAGGCTGGGGAGGCACCACCACAATGAGGCGATCCTGCCCCCTTCAGCCCAGGTGTCACGTACTTGAGGGGACACTGGGCAAGGGCCTTGGTGATGGCGCACACGTGCTGACTCAGCTCCTCCCACGAGGCCACCAACAGCACATCCAGATTTGCCCAAAGCTGCAGGAGCACCAGAGCCTGGGGAGGAGGCAAGCCGGTGGGCGTGAGCAGGAGGAAGGCTCCCCAGGACATGGCTGGTAGCTGCCCCACATGCCACGCTGGGAGACAAGCCCAGCCAGCAGCCCAGTCACCGGGACCCAGGCCACTTGACTCACCCAGCTCAGACAGACCCTCACCTCCTCCACCTCTGGCCAGTCCACGGCCACCTTGGCACCGGCCACCTGCGGGCTCTCTGGCTGTGTCCCACGGGGAACGTGCTGGCGAGACCTGAGCAGAGGTGACTGTCTCTCACCGTTCCCCATGTGACCTGCCCTGCCCGAGCTCAGCCTCTGCCAGAGCCCACCTGGGGAAGTGGCATCGGCTGTGCCACAGCAACCCCAGAAGTGTGCCCACCTCTGAACCCCCATCCCAGGCAGCCCCACTGTAAGCATAAGAGTAAACGGTACCACAGATAGGCATCCAGCCCGATGACAGCCAAGTGGGGCCGGGCGGTGATCTCGGGGGTGATCCAGGGCACCCAGCGGGTTGGGCCAGAGAGCTGAAGATGACAACGCATGGTACAGTTCACGGGAGGCTGAGGCTCAGGGCTGTGGGCCAGCAGGCCACGGCCTGTTTGCAGAAGAGCAGCAGGCCTGAGAAAGAGCCAGAGGTGCCAAGAGGACCTCTGCTCCATTACCCCTTCTGAGAAAACCAGCTCTGGGCCTCCCATGAGGCCAAGGAGCCCCCCGGAATGGCTGCCTGTTCCACTAAGCCCCCTCATTCCTGGTCTACCTCCCAGGAGCTTTCTCCATCCCACCCCAGAAACCTTTACGGTTTTGGATCAGACAGGAGTCCCAGCCTGCCCCATCTACAAGGGCAGGGATTGACAGAGCAGGCGCCTCCGGGCTGGGAACCCACACGTCCTAACTGTGGAGAGGGGCTTCTGCCGCCACCTGAGCACCTGGGTCAGTGTAGCCACGCCCTGCAGAAACTCCTCCGGCTCCAGCAGCAGCAGCAATTCCTGTTCACCGGCAGCCCACACTTCAGGAGGCAGCTGTGGGGACAACGCGAGGCTGCCTGTCTCAGCCCCGGGTGCCCCAGGGGCTCTTCCTGGGCATTCCAGCAGCAACGCGGCTCGTAGCCCCAGCCAAGCCCAGGCCCTGCGAGGCCTGCTCTACGGTGTTCCCTTTCCTGTCAAGGGCAAGCTCGGCACAGGTCTCCACAGCCTCGCTCAGGCCGGAACCCCCTCCAGCCAGCTAGGTTCTTTACCAGCAGAACGGCTTGGGCAGCTCCACTTCTCATTCTCCATCCTAGGTTTACCCATCCGCACCGCCCAGGGACAGCGCCAGGACTGAAAACAGCCGAGTCGGGGCTGGCCCTCGGTAACCCGCGACCACTCACGGTGCCGGGGCAGGGGTCGGGACTCGCTCGGGTCCACTGCAGGCTCCGCGCCGGGCGCTGGGGCTCGATGAGGCACTCGCAGCCCAGGGCCTCTAGGGCCTCCATCAGGACGTCGGCACCGGCGTCTTCCAGGAAGGCTGGGACCGGGGGAGAGAAGTGAGGTCACTGCCTCCTTCCACCCTCGTGGGCGCCCTACCTGGGATGGGGGTCCGGGCCGGGGAGTCTGCATTCGGCACAGGCCCCCGACTGGGAAGCAGGTCCGGCCCCAGGGCCCGCAGCGCGCGCGCACTGCCCCGTCGGACCGAGAGTGCCGCCGGGCCGGGAAAGGCCTTTCCTACCCCGCGCATCGCCCGCGCGCTCCGCCGCACCTGGGTCCACGCGCACCGCAAGGCGCCTCAAGACCTGCTCCGGCCGCATCAGCCGCAACGCCTCGGCCGCCGCCCTGCGCGCCCCAGCTGGGTCCCCGGCTTTCGCGGCGGCCTCCGAGTGGGCGGGGCCCTCGGTGTCAGAGTCCGAGATGTCCCAGGTTGCAGGTCGCCGCTGGCCGCTCCGGCCGCGGCGAGAGGCCCTCGCCCTCCCGGGTCCAACCCGCGCCATGGCCAGGACAGCTTCTCCTTCGCTTCCGGTCGCGCCCGGATACTTTAGACCGGGACACCCGCCTCTTCCGATGGCAGGCGGGCCTGGGGGCGCGCGGCGGCAGCGGCTTCCGGCCGGAGCCCTGAGGCGTTGGACCCACCATGGCGCGGAAGAAGGTGCGTCCGCGGCTGATCGCGGAGCTGGCACGCCGCGTGCGCGCCCTGCGGGAGCAGCAAAACCGACCGCGCGACTCGCAGCTCTACGCCTTGGACTACGAGTCCCTGACGCGGCCGTTCTCCGGTCGGCGGCTGCCGGTCCGGGCCTGGGTCGACGTGCGCCGCGAGAGCCGCCTCCTGCAGCTGCTCAACCGCCTCCCGCTCTTCGGCCTGGGCCGCCTGGTCACGCGCAAGTCCTGGCTGTGGCAGCACGACGAGCCGTGCTACTGGCGCCTTACGCGGGTGCAGCCTGACCACACGGCGCAGGTGCGTGCACCACGACCGCACCCCTCTCCTGCAGCCGCCTGGTCTCCCCTCCCGGGCGGGCTCGCGGAGCGGCCCCGCCTCCCCTCCTTTCTGCAGGTTTGTGGGGCTGAGGCTACCCCCTCCTGACCTCGGAGGCCAAGAGCCTTGCGAGTTGACTTACTTTCCTCTGGCTTTGCAGAATTTGGACCACGGGAGGGCCTGGGGCATCCTGACCTTCAAAGGTAAGGCTCGGAAGAGCAGGTCCCCGGCGGTCATTGCAGGCCACCGACGGCACAGCAGATGTGTGCAGTACGCCTCTTTCCTTCCCCAGGCAAGACGGAGAGCGAAGCGCGGGAGATCGAACACGTCATGTACCATGACTGGCGGCTGGTGCCCAAGCACGAGGAGGAGGCCTTCACCGCGTTCACGCCGGCGCCCGAGGACAGCGTGCCCTCCGTGCCGTACCCCCCGCTCCTCCGGGCTATGATTCTCGCAGAAAGACAGAAAAATGGAGACACAAGCACCGAGGAGCCCATGCTGAATATGCAGAGGATACGCGTAAAACCCTGGGACTACCCTGCAAAACAGGAGACCAAAGGAAGGGCCAAGGGCACCCCGGTCTAGAACACCAGAACCAGTGGGTGGCCTGAGGGGCTGTGAGGCCGCGGGGACCTTGCTGATGAAAGAAACCATCCTTGGGTTACACCTGAGTCCGCCTCTCGGAGTTGGGAGTTCCCCCTCCGTGACGTGTTCTGACGGTCTGCATCGTAGTGGAGAGGGCTGGGGCAAATCGCCAACTGTCTTTCCTCTGGCCCTTCCGCCCCGACACCCAACTCGGAGGGCACGCTGGGGAAAGCGGGAGGTGCTGGCCCCCTTCCCCCATTGGAGTAGAAACTATGAAAGAGAATAAAGGGGGAAAGAAAGAAACGAAAGAAAACAAAATAAATAAAGGGGAATAAAAGAAGATAAACACAGGCCAGGGTTGTGTTTTATTTGCGCGCTCTCTGCAGAACCTGGGAGAGAAAGGCTGACTCTGGTCACGGCCCTGGTCTGGGGGCACGGGCGGTGCGGGAGCAGGGCGTCGCGTGGGTGGAACCACCTGGACGGGTTGTGGCGAGTACAGTTAGTGTCCGAGCCACTGGAGGAGACTTGGCCTCCGCAGCTCCTCTCCTCCCTCCTACGGCTGCTGGCTTCCGGGGTGCAAGTGAAGCGAGATTCCTCGCGGTCGTCCGCGGAGGCTGCCGTGCCGGGTCCAGGCCCCTTTAAGCGCAGGCCCCGCCCCAGTCGCCGCCGCCCCGCCCCGCAGAGCTCGCTCCGCCGTCGCCATCATGATCTGCTTGGTGCTGACCATCTTCGCCAACCTCTTCCCCGCGGGTGAGAGGAGCGGCGCGGCGCGTGCCGGGGTCGGGCGGGCAGTGCTGGGCCGGCCTGACGCCCGGTTCCCGCCCGCTCCGCAGCCTGCACCGGCGCACACGAGCGCACCTTCCTGGCCGTGAAGCCGGACGGCGTGCAGCGGCGGCTGGTGGGCGAGATCGTGCGGCGCTTCGAGAGGAAGGGCTTTAAACTGGTGGCGCTGAAGCTGGTGCAGGTCGGGGCGCAGGGCGCGGTGGAGGGACGGGGTGAGCGGGCGCGGGGCGGGGACCTGAGGACGCTTGGGTCCTAGGCACGGGCGCAGGCGGCCTGACCCTTTCGCAGGCCTCCGAGGAGCTGCTGCGCGAACACTACGCGGAGCTGCGCGAGCGCCCGTTCTACGGCCGCCTGGTTAAGTACATGGCCTCCGGGCCGGTGGTGGCCATGGTGAGTACCTGGGAAGCGGGCGGGCGGCCCCGGGACCTCCACCTCCGCGTGACACCACCGCCGACCCGCCCGCACAGGTATGGCAGGGGCTGGACGTGGTGCGCGCCTCGCGGGCGCTCATCGGGGCGACGAACCCGGCCGACGCCCAGCCCGGCACCATCCGCGGGGATTTCTGCATTGAGGTTGGCAAGTAAGGCCGGAGCCGGGGACGGTCCCAGCCCTGTCTGGCCTGCCTGGTACCCGTGCCCGAGCTCTCCTTCCTGCGCTCACGCGTGCCTCTTCTGCTTAGGAACCTCATTCACGGCAGCGACTCAGTGGAGAGTGCCCGCCGAGAGATCGCTCTCTGGTTCCGCGCAGAGGAGCTCCTGTGCTGGGAGGACAGTGCCGGGCACTGGCTGTATGAGTAGTCCGGTGGGTGCGCGTCGCAGAGGCTCTGCGGCACCAGCCTCCTCCAGGGCCCAGGCTTTCAGACCCGCCCTGCAGCACTTTGAACGTCCCTTCTGATGAGGTGCTGAACATGTCAGGACGTTGCATCGAGGGTGGCATGGGACCCCCCCAATCCCTGGCGTACAGGGCTTACTGCCCGAGACGAGCTGCTCCAGGCAAGCCTGCGCGGCTCACTTGGAAACGTGCCAGGACACTGTCCTGGTGCCCAGCCCAAAGTGGTCCAACATTTCTTTGTATAATAAAGTCCTAGTTTTCGTGTGGGTTTGGTTCCGGAACAGGCAGCTACGACGTTAAGACGTTTATTACGTACAGAGCAGATACGTGGGTTTGCTTGCAGGACCAAAGCCTGAGGAGAATCGTCACCCCTCCCCCAGCCGCCCCATCCGTCAGCCGGGAGTCACTTCCAAATCCTAGGGGAACAGACGAGGGACCGGACATACATCACAGTGGAGGTGGCAGGGTGGTGGGGAGAAGCCGGCAGCACGGCAGCTGCAGCCCTCGGTGGCCGGCGGGGCTCATGGGGCAGCTCCCCAAGATCTGTGCTTCTCTGGTTGGGGATGGGTGAGGGGCTGGGCTGCCCTTGTTGGGGCCTCCCAGACAGGAGTGCAGTGGGCCTGGAAGGTGGGAGTAGGCCAGCGAGGCCCGGCTGGGCAGGGAGAGCAGTCCAGGGTGGCGACTGCTCCTTATGCGCTTAGAGTCTACTGGAGGCAGCTCCATCCTCAGCTCCATGGGCCTCCGCTTGGTGGCCTCTCTGTTGCTCCTGGGGAACAGGCCACAGCGGGCAGCCCTAGGCACTTAGTAGCGTGTCTGGGAGCTGTGGAGCCCCATGCAGGAGGCAGGCCCCAGAAGCACACCATCCCCCATCAACCTGAGGCTGAGCCTGCGTCCAAGGACTGACCCCGGAGAGGCCAGGGGCCTCCCCTTCTTCCTGAGGCCTGGGCCTGCCCTGGCAGCCTGAGAAATCCCACCCCGGGGCTTCTAGGAGGCACAGGACTCCAGGGCCCACTCCTTGAAGGAGTCTTCTGCCCAGGCAGAGCCTGAGGGGACACAGGTCAGAGCAGGGCTGGCGAGACCCTGCGTGCATGGACGGGATGGGGTAGCAGTCTCTTCTTAAGCAGCTGTTCTGGGGAGCTGGGCCTCGTGCTTTGATGCCAACTCCCTGGGCAGGGGACAGCCAGGATAGGGACAGAGGATAGGGGCTTGAAGACAGGAAGGCCCCAGAGAAGGCCAGCTGGGGTACAGGCACCTGGGCAGCCTGAGGCCCACCTCCCTAGGCAAAGGCTAGTACCTGGCCCTGTTCCCCTAGGCAGAGTGAGGGCCCAGGACGCAGGTGGGCCCGCAAGCAGCATGCAGAGGTGGGCCCAGGGCAGGCAGCCTCGGCGGTGGGGAGCCCCTGCCTCCTCCCTGGGGGTGCTGGGAAGTAGGAGGCTGGGGTAGAGCCAGGGCCACCTCAGATCCTGCCTGCGCTGGGCCCAAGGTGCCCTGGACTTGAGGACTCTGGGCTGGAAGCTGGCCAGGAGCTGCCCAGGAACAGTGTCCCGAGATTTTCCTCTTGGGTGGAAGCACCCCCTCCCCTCCTCCTAACTGACTGGCGTCCCCACACTCCCTGCCCGCTGTAGAGGGCCAGACTCAGGTGAAAGCTGCAGGTTGAGAGGTTAGAAAAGGGGCGGTGGCGCCTGGCTGGCTACCCCGCAGGGCAGGCGGGGGTCAGGTGGTCAGGGGTCCTATGTACAGGTCCGGCCAGGCAGGGTGGGCGGCTCACTCTGGGGTGTAAGACACCTGCCACACGATGATGTGGCTGCGCTCGGCCTTGGACAACATGGGCTTCACTTGGCTCACGTCCCCCATGCCCTCCTCCGTCTCATCATCCTCTCCATCTCCTGTGGGCAGGACAGCAGTCAGGGCCAGGCTCCCCGCTCCCATGTGCAACCTCAGCCCTGTCCCCAGGGCCACTCACCGATGCGAAAGTCAATGTAACCCTCCCCGCCGCTCAGCACCAGCACGTTCCGCAGCTTCTGGCCCTCGGCTTCTGAGGCGGGGGCGGCCGGCCCAGGGCCCTCGGCTGGGCTGTCCAGGACGCTCCCATTCAGAGTGGCCAGCACGTTCCCTGGGATGGCAGAAGCAATTCAGGATAGCAGCCTCCTGAGTGCAGCGGCCGCGGCCACTGGCCTGCCGGGTGTGGACAGCAGGAGAGACACAGACTCACCTGGTACCGAGACGAAGAACTTGACCGCATCACGGTGTCCATGGAAGCAGAGCTGTGCCTGGGCCATGGAGCAATAGGGGATGAAGCTGCTGGCTGCCCTGTCGCTGCTGTCGTCACCGTACACATGGATGATGCCCCCAGGTCGGGCGCCCTCCCCCGAGGTGGGGGACGTCTTATTGGCTGCAGGGAGAGAACCCAGAGGCGCTGAGCCCACACACCGATGAAGGGTGGGAGAGGCTTCCCGTCGGGGGATGGGAGGTGGCCGGGCTTACCTCGGAGCCCCAGGAGCTGGCCTCGATGCAGGACCACAGCTGGGGACATAGGAGGAGCAGGGGATAAGAGGAGATGGATCAGTGGAAGGGCGGTGAGGCACCCTCCCAGGTGGCCCTGCAGAGCCACCCCCTGGGAACTCATGGGCGCCTCTGGCAGCACCACCACCCCGGCAGGGCTGCAGCCACTCACTCTCTGTCAGGGGGATGGAGATGACCACGCCGTTGCCAGTGCCCACCCAGAGCCGGCTGCCTGCGACCAGCAGGGCCGTGATGCGCACGAAGGAGAAGCCCAGCTTGCCAGTGCCTGTTGGGGACAACGGTCAGGGCGGCTGGCCTTGAGCACCCCGCTGCCCCGCCTGCCTGGCGCAGCCCCTTACCCAGCATCTTGCTGACATAGGGCTCAATGTCCACGTCCTGCAGGTGCTGGTGCGTGTGTGCGTGGTAGAGCCGCAGGGTGGAGTCCAGACGGATGGACACCCACACACCATCACCGATCCATGCCAGCTGCCGCACCTGGCTCTCCCGCCGAGGGTGGGCATCAAATGACTTCTGTGGGGTTATGGCAGTCCATCAACAGGGCTGGGGGAGAGGAAGTGGGAAGCCCCAAACCTGCCACAGCCCCGGGGCCACCTGCGGCCCCCTCTAATGCCCAGCCAGAGCCTGCTTTGCCCCTGTTAGAGCCTGGGTCACAGGCAGTGCAGGGGGGCTGGGACCCACACAGGGCCTCCTGGACTTGTGTGTGGAAGGTGTGGGAGCACTGCTGGCTGGCAGAACCCCTTCCCCGCCCCGGGCGGGCCATGCCAGCACTCACCTCAATCTGCATGGTCTTGGGCTGGATGACGTGCACCTTGTTCTTATAGCCACACCACACGCGGTCGTACACAACAGCCATGCAGCGGATAGAGTGGTGCGGGTGGCCCAGGTCCATCAGGTGATAGTTGCTCAGGTCCCACTGGCCATCTGCGGGGAGCCCAGATACCTCAGGCCTGGCCAGTCCCCACCTCTGCTCATGGCATCAGGGGTTGAGACACCCAGTGCCAGGCTTAGGAGAGGCCTGGAACCCCAGGAGACCCCCGAATCACTGGCAGGGCCATCAGCTGCCACCCACATACCCCATGCTGCTAGGCCCCACCTTCACCACGGTGGAAGATGGCGAGGGTCCCGTCTGCCAGAGCCACCAGCACGCGGCCTTTGACATGCCTGAAACAGGAATGCAGTGAGCCTGGTATGGGACAGGCTATGGTAGCCCCTCCACCCAGTACCCCCACCCCCACCCCACCGCCGACGCCCGGCCCTCAGCCTGGGGTCACCCACACCAGGCTCAGCACGGAATCCTTCAGCTTGATGGAGTGCAGGCACTTCTTCCAGTTGGCCACAGCTGAGTGCACGTACAGCCTGTAGGAGGAGGTGGCGGTGGGCAAGGTGCTCCCCAGGGACCCTCCCTCCACCCTGTCCAGGGCCCTGCCTACCAGCCGTTCTGGGCCCCCAGCCACATGGTAGGTGCAGCACTGCTGCCTGCTCCCGTGGGGTCCCCGCTGGGCTCCGGCTCCGGCTGCGTGCTGCTGCTGTCAGGCTCTGGCCCATTCTCGCTGTGAGAAGGACAGTGACTTGAGGTGGGCCACGGGGTGTGCACCTGCCCCAAGACCCTTCCCACCTCTGCCAGCCTTCCTTCTGCTGCTGCCCCAGCCCAAGAGCTTACCTGCCAGGCTGGGGGCCAGAGGGCAGGGCGGGGGCTGGGTCGGTGAAGACGTGCTCTGTGAGAGGCCCCGGCCGCAATGCAGCAGTCTCTGGCTCGCTGGGCCCAGGGTCTGGTACCTCTGTGGCCTCTGTGGCCTCCTCTGTGGACTGGGATGGGTTGACCTTCCCATTGGCGATGGCGGCCACCTCCCCTGTGTTAGGACAGGTGAGCTTGGGCTGGGCAGAAACCTGGGAATGAGGGGATGGGGAAAACTCGCCGTGGACTCACCCTGCCCCTTGTCCAGCACCGGAGTGTCCCCTCGGGAGGAGCAGTTGCTCCGCGGCACGTTGCAGCGGGTGGCACAGCCCACCAGGGTGATACCGGCCAGCACGCCATCTGCGCCCGCATCCTCTGGGTTCACGTCGCTGTCCAGGAACATCTCCCCAGGGGGGTAATCACTGTCGCTCGCCGCTGGGGAGAGGACTGCCCATCAGCCTGTGCTGGGGAACCCACTACTGCGAGGGTGTGTCTAGCACTCATCCAGGGGTGGGACGGAGGAGTGGGGGCTGGTCTTCCACTCTCCCAGCAGACCCAGCCTCCACACATGGCTCCACCCACAGCCCACCCAGGACTCTCTGCCTGGAGGCCTGGGACGACTCCAGCCAGCCTGCTCTGTTGGGTGGGCCCCTGGGCCGAGGTAAGCTGAGTAGTAAGACTCCCGTCCTGGGAGCAAACAACTCATGATCCTGTGGCAGACCCCTAAGAACCCTCAGGAGCTCAGGGCCATCTCCGCAAACAGCCCTGTGGTTTCACACCAGAGACCTAGCGGAGCCCTGGGCAGCCCTTTGTTCTCCCAGTGTTGGGGCTGGGCCCAGAACCTCACCAAGGCTATCGCCCTCAGGGGTGACATGAAGCCCCTCTTCCATACCCCCTTAGCCCTTGGTGAGGCCGTGAGATTTCGGCCCAGCTGGAGGTTTCACTTTCAGCCTGAGGAAATGTTTTCCTCTAGTGCCTGAGTGATGCTTCAAGCTTCAGGCTGGGCTACGGCCCACCCGTCGCCCTCTAACCAAATAATCGTGGTGTGCAAAGTAGGAATAAAGGTGGAGGCCACGGCAGTGTTGCCCC